TGGTAAGTGGAGTTTATATATCTGATATTCTACATGACCTTGAATGCGGTTTATTCACTATTAAGTGGGTTTGTACTAGCATTGGTAGGTACTGTACCTTTAGCATTCAATCCGTAACCACAGAATTCTGTAACTGGTCTTCCTTTTTGAACTGTGAAATATCCTCATCCTCCAAATTTCACAAAGTTTTGAACTGTACCTCTGTTCCTTTAATGAGGAACAAGTTGTCGGTGAGAGCCAGGAGCTGTTCATTTCACAGATGTCAAACCTCTTCCTTCATCAGCATGATCTGCCCAAACTCAAAGCTATTCACATAAAATGAGAATAGTGAAACAGCTCAAACCATTCCCTTCAACAACTATTAACAACTGTAGGGTCATAGTCGATCAAAACAGGCCTACAGAAAGATTTGGTAGGTCTAGAATTTAACCCTAACAGAAGCTATATGTTCAGAATGGAATACTAGCTTAGTATTAGCAGTATAATGCCTCTTATTCTTTAAAAATATCTACTGTGATCGCAGGCATTATTCGATGATCAGCATTTCAAAAAAAGCCAATGCAATATTGTTGTCTTCCAACCTCCTCCGAGTGGCACCATATTCTTGAAAACAGTAAGGGCTATTTTGCATTTTCAATTCAAATTTGTATTTAAAAATCCAGTCAAATCATGAATCACTTTAACTACTTTAAATAGAGTTGAGTGCTCTGCTATAAAATTAGCATGTTGTGCACAGTATGCATACTACATGCGAGTCTTTGCACCTATTCGTATTACTGCACTGCATCACTGTTCATTTGCATAAAGAGACTTTGCTCATTTTTTGCTGTTGTTATTTCTGCCTCAAATCACCAACTCTAAAAATTAAATAAATAAATATTATTACTGTAGGTGTATCACAATTATTCAAAGCTGACAAGATGGGGTTTAAAAGGGAAAGCTCACACAAAAATGAGAATTCTGTCATTAATTACTCATCCTCATGTCATTCCAAACCTGTAAGACCTTTGTTCATCTTCAGAAAACAAATTAAGATATTTCTGATGAAATACGAGAGTTTTCTGACCCTGCATAGACAGCAATGTAACTACCACGTTCAAGACCCAAAAAGGCAGTAAGGACATCGTTAAATTAGTCCATCAGTGGTTCAACTGTAATTTTATAAAGCTATGAGAATGCTTTTTGTGCACAATGAAAACAAAATTTTGAAACTTTATTCAGCAATTTCTTCTCTTCCGCATCAGTCTTTGAGAGTACCACTATCTATGGGGTTTTTTTTTTGTGCTATACGACTACTTAGAAAAAAATTAAAAGATAGGAAAACTTCTATACCCAAAATTAACTGGGCTCGATTAGACTGTCTGTGAGTTGGGATACAAAGTATGATTTGTAGTATTGAAGTTCACCAGACAATGCATTTTACGTCATTTCGTAGAGTTTAGCTGTCAAATAAACAAGAAAAATAATACACATTTTTGCTTGCACTACCCACACTGTAACAATACAAAGCTGGTTAAAAACTGACTTAGTCTTTAATTAAGCAAACAAATGATGTGTGTAATGTTGGACACGTAAGTCACAGTCACATTAGACTTTGAGCATGCAAAATTTCTACATACTCTGCAAAAATTGTAATATGACATCAAACTCTGTGGCATCTTTTTAAAAAAAAAACATGATTTAACATCTACTCCACTTTACAGCAATGCAGCAATTTTTTAGATTCAAAGTTGGCTTTCTTTGAATTCAGCTTAGACATCATGCAAAACTTCTACTGGTCAAACATCTTCATGTGATATGAATTTGCAGGTCAAAGTTCACCAAACTTGAACTAAGAATGCAGCAAAAAATGTTTTTGTGTTTCCTGTCTCCCACATTCACATGTGTATGAATGGAAGTCAATGGACTGAAAAGTGTAGTGTGGCCAGCCCTTTAATGCACTCAACTGTTGCAGCTTTCCTGAACTCTGATGCTGAATGACAAAATAACCTTATAAATACTCTAGACATTAAAGTACATAGTGCAACACAACTTCTGGCTTTCTCGCTAGAAATCACTATAAGTGCTAATACTCCTTTATATACACACACATATACATATATATATATACACAACAGTGACTCTTCTCCATGCACAGATTACAAAACCAGAGTGCAGATATTGATCCACCATCTGATAATGCTGGATACAGCAGTCGAGTATGAACGAAAACTATCAACAGCACAGGAACTCAACAGTCAAAGTGTGAACACCAATGAGTCATAGTAGCAAGCTACCATGACACGGCTTCAAGAGATGCAATTTTTACAAAATGAGCTCAACATTAGATTCATGGCATTGTTACAGCCACATAAAATACAGTTAACATGAGGCAGTAGTTTGTAATCCTTTAAAACAAGCAAAGCCCTTTGTGTTTCAGGCAGCATATTGTTGATGTCTCATTCCCAGGGGCTTCCCTTAACACATCATCTGTCTCTGTCTCATTAGAAATAGAAACATATCCTCTATATAAAAAAGACTGACTTTTAAGACATTATAGACAAAAGACACATTTTAATATCTATAAAAAGATATATAAAAAAATATAGTAGAAATGCACTCTTTACATGCTCTTGAACTGAAAAAAATACAATAAAATACCAAACAAGGGCAGTTACAAAACAAGACCTGCATTAGATCTCATACGAAGACACACCACATACCGAAGCTATCATTTGGATTTCTACAAGCTTTCTGACACCACAGAGCTAATGACTGTCAGATTCACAAGCTAATTGTTCTTTAAAGTGGTTGTTTTTAATGAATCAATAGAACCGATTTGCAAATTGGCCTGCATCAAACTCATGCGTTATCAATCGGTCAGATTACTGAGCTAATAACACTCTCACACGCTGAATCGAAAGTCATCACTTCTGGTAACGCCAAACTGACCCCAAGAGAAAAGAAGATTGCTCTTAATAATAATTGATTGGTGTCAAATAATAACTGGCTATTGACATGTTAAAATAAGACTTTTTTTGGTTCTCACAACAAGAGAAATCCTTGCAGAAACAGTCTTTTCTATGGTACAAAACGCTGAATTATTCAATTTAAGTTTAATTTTCAAAACTAAAAAGAACAAAATGGATGGATTTGAACCAACAAAATTAAGTTACCAGATCAAATCTTTATCCAACCAAAAACAACACCACTTTGAACATTTCAGTTCTGTAACCTTAGTATGCTACAATTTAGGCTACCATATATAAAACATGGCTTTCCCCAGTTTTTTGATAGCTGCAAAAGTATTGTGTTTGATTTATATCAATCACATATTAATATCTATTTTTCTTATTTTCTCTGTAACATAACTCACATACAATACACATTAAGATATTAAGTAAAATATGCAGTATTTATGTTAAAAACACAATGGGGTCGTTCTATAATTGCAGTGACATTTCCACCTGATTTTTTCTTGTTGAAAATGAATCTCATCAATAATATATTACACCTACGGTGCAATATTCATTATCTTCTTTCTCATTTTATACAAGGTCATACTAACTGTATAGGCGTGGGATTAAATATATATGTTTTACCACAGACTGCTATTTTGTCGATGAGTCACAGAAGCCAGTAACACTACCACAAATAAACTGTTGATGATTGTTCAAGATGGGTGAGACCATTACAAAACACGTTACTTCTGATTTCATGACACATAACGGTTAAAGATGTCTTCAACAACATTGCTATTTCATAATGGACATTCAAAAACATATATATTCAGATAAAAACATGTCGAAACTAGGGCTGCACGATAAATCGAAATGGAATTCGAGATCGTGATTCGACAGAAGCTGCGATTGTCATGCGTATCTTTCAGTGAAGCACGGTTCTGTGATCAGCAGTAAATCTCCATCCAAAGGCCAGAGGGTGCTCTCGCGCCAGAAAATGGCTATCGTTGCAGCTGAATAAACAGAAAATTCAACTGCTTTCATTGATTCAACGTGACTAATAAACACATGACTACAGCAATATACGAGTTCTTATTATTATAATTTTCATTAAAATAAAGTATATTTATAATGCAATGCCTTTATCACTGCTTAAATACTATGAAATATGTTGCGTACCTTTTTTTGTGTAAGAAGCCACATCATCGATTTATTTCAAACACTCGACCGACGTTATGAAGTGAGTTTGGAGTAAAAATATGTTATTAAATGTGGTATTTTCAAATGCTTTCAGATGGAGCAGCATTTACTTCACAGAGCCGTAGTTCACTGAGAAGCTATGCAAACAGCTGTCATTATCGCAAACGATTTCTTCGATTTCAGAATCGCGCAATAAAATCGTCTGCGATATTTTTGCGTAACTTGTCAGTGAACTACGGCTATGTGTAGTAAATTCTGCTCCATCTGAAAGCACGTGATGATAATTTCCTGCTGATTACAGAATCGGCTTTTTTTAACAAAATGCGCATGACAATCGCATTCGATTAATCGTGCAGCCCTAGTAGAAACTTTCAGTAGATACTCCCCTCACCACACATGATCTTTCACTTCAGGAAGTGCTTCTCATAAAAGTCCTGTACATACACTATATTAAAATAATACATTTTGCAACAAATCTTTTTTTTAATACATACCTAAAAATACCTCATTAGAGAACAGTGACATTGTCGACAAGTTTCGAAATCTAAATAGTTAAATTTTACAGTTTAGAGTTAAAAGCATTTTAAAACATATTTTCTATGAGTTTGTGCATTGAATTTTTAGCCATCTAAAAGTGATTTACAGCATCTGTCACCCCATAACTTTATTATGAATCAACATCCAAGTAATCCAACAGCATTTAACATCAAATTTCAAATAAGAACAATGCCAATCTAGGCAATGTTGTTAGCTATGCTCATAGGTAGATGCTAACTAAATTAATCAATTCTTCCAAACATTATGTAACAAAATGCTACTCAACTGGCCACAAGCAAGGTATAAAGAATAAGAATAACTCACCGTCATTTCTTTCCTAAATGCCACATGCAAGGATTGCTAAGGACCAGCCAGCGGCCCTGCCAGTGTGTGTCTGTCAACTGCAAACAAGACTTCCTGCTATAAAGGTGTAAACATCCTGTTTATAGTCCATTGTGAGATTACTTAAATCTAATTGTCCAAAAGGCTATAAAACTGTTAACAAACATTAATGTTAATAATTATGTATAATGTATAATGATTACAAGATTCACATCCGGCTACTTTTGACATCCAGTCAGTTTGAGTAGGCCTATATTTCTAATTTCCATGCTGTTGTAGATGTGAAGAAAAGGATTTCATATGATTTTATGACTTTTAAATGTGATCTAACTGCACCATAATCAGATGATGCCGTATTTGATATGTTTTGTCAACACTGCATGCATAATTAACAAAAAAAGCAAAATAAACATGTATCCATAATGGACATTCAAAAACATATATATTCAGATAAAAACATGTCGAAACTAGGGCTGCACGATAAATCGAAATGGAATTCGAGATCGTGATTCGACAGAAGCTGCGATTGTCATGCGTATCTTTCAGTGAAGCACGGTTCTGTGATCAGCAGTAAATCTCCATCCAAAGGCCAGAGGGTGCTCTCGCGCCAGAAAATGGCTATCGTTGCAGCTGAATAAACAGAAAATTCAACTGCTTTCATTGATTCAACGTGACTAATAAACACATGACTACAGCAATATACGAGTTCTTATTATTATAATTTTCATTAAAATAAAGTATATTTATAA